TACATGATATACGCTAACATCCCTAATATACAGTAGGGCTATAAAACATTTACAAAAATTCGTCCATGTAGCCAATCAAAATTCTATGTTATGTGGTTAAATGTTTTCAGAGGATATGGGGTAGGGAGTGAAGGGTGCTGGAGGGGTCCCCCCCAACTCTAGGCTCTCAGCAGCCGGCCCCCCACTGCGTGCTCCTTTCCTCTCCTGGATTCTTGGCAGCCAGTTGTGTGCCACAGCTCCTGGCCATCAGGGTCCTAGCAGCTGGGCCTGCTGCTAGCCCAGCATCTGAGTTTAACCATTAACCTGATGTTTATTGTTTTCTATTATCATTAAATGGTTAAACTCTTACATCCCTAAAATGCAGCGCTTTTCCCAGTGTTCATTCCATGCATTAAATTAGCTATTTCAAGCAATGGCCATTAAAGTCTCTTGTCTTTGAGCGGTCCTCTTCTTGTTTTCTCCTCTCTCCAGTTTACAGTAGCTGCTCTCCTGCTTCTTCCATTACATTCTCTGTCTTTTCTGCGTTCCTCCCTTTTCTCATTTAGTCTGGTTCTTCATGTACGATTTGAAGCTACTTCAGGCCATGATTAAGTGCTGTGTAGTGTAGGATGCTGGCTCAGTTGCTGGCTGGCAGCTTTGTGCTTGTCTGTGGTAACTGAAACTGCAGATGCCAGTGGTGCAATCTCACAGTTTAAAATGATCATTGCTTCTGAAGTACTGTGATAGTCTGGAGAGGCTAGAACTCGATCAGTACTGTGTGCAAGAGTGATAGTTCTGTGCTGTAGTGCAGGATTTACAGTATTTTTCAAAAGAACTTCACAACTATTTAAGCATACAGTGTTCCCATAAATCTTCTGGTCACCTTTCTAGAGAAGCACTTGCTCTTTTATTTTTCTATAAAAATACAGTCATATGTCTGCATTTCCATTTGTTAAATTACCTATTCCCAGTATTTCACAATCTTCATTGGGTGGATCAGGTCTTTTCCCTTTTCTACTGTGCATATATTAAAATCTTTGTTAATCAAAGTATCCACTGCAATTTGACACTAATTCTTTTTACCTCTCAAGCTTTTTTCTTTTCACTTGCTGTATCTTGTTTTTAGTAGTCCTCCCAAGCCTCATTTTTACATGATCTGTTTAAAATCTTTCAATTTAATTTCTGATACTGCCCATTATATCCCTACTTAATCATGTTAACACTTGATGCCAGTTTTATAGCCAGTTAAGTTTTGAGATGAATTCCAAATGCAGTCTCTACAGCTGGCTTAATTTCTACTTCTTCTGACTTTCCTTATATATCCTAGAATTCCAAGCTACGTTGCCTAAAGCATTTTGTATGCATTCAGTGTTGTCTTTTTTTAATACCATATATTGCCCTCAATCACAAGCATTTTCCTGGGCTGCCAGCCAAATGAATGCTTAGGAAGCTGTGTATATGTCTGAAATCTTCAAGTGATTTGTGAGCTCCACATGTGGAGTGAGGACAGTATGTGCCTCTGAATGTCCAATGCCTTTTTGCTGCTTTTCTTGCTGAGATGATCCCTTTCTGACAAAATATTCACTAGATTGTGTGTTCTAGATAACTTCTAATTTGAATTATATCCAAGTTGTTAAGCCTTTGACTATACTGGAAACACAATAAACTGTAAAGAAAATGGTACATTCTAACTCAAGGAATATGGTCTTTGCTTAGATTTTTTTTTAATCCATAAAGATTCTTCCCAATGATGCTTTCATGTGGCACATTTTGTCATCTTCCTTTTAACAGAAAAACATTTTTTGTTTACCCTTCTCAAACTGTCCTGCACATCTGTAACAAATCAACAATGCTGCCTTTTCTACCTAAATTCAAAGCCAGGTCTCAGATATAATTTGGCTTGTAGTTAAATGTTCTACTATGTGAACCCCACTACTGCAAGTAATATTGCTTCCCTTTGCTTATGTTTCTTATTCTGCACACAATGCAGTTCCACTTCCTGCTTTTCTTTTACCTGTTCCATAGCTTGGTATTTTCAGCTGAGTTATTTTGTAGGTATAACTGTGTGTATTTACAATAACATACGGTACTCTTTGCTGAGTGCATGCCACTATTTTAGCCACTGTATAGTATTTGCTTGCAGAATTTCTGTAAAAGATATGTAACTTTTCCATTTCATTGTCCCTTACTCTCATTCTTGTATACAGATTTTCTCCATATGATGTCCTGGTGTAGGCAGGTCCCTCTCGATTTTTCAAATCTCTGGTCCCCATTGTAAAATATTTTCCATATACATTTCCATATTAGCCTCAGTCTATTTGCTTCATACCATTTATATGTATTCTGTCCTGTATTGTTCTATTTCCTACTGTTCTTCTGCACATCTTGTTTCTCCCTCCCCCGCTCCCCGCCATTCTATCCCCATTTCTCTCCAAAAATCACCTTTGCACATATAAAACACTTTTTTCGTCTGAGAATCTCCATTCATAGACCCTATATATCCCAAGTATTTGGCTGGAGTCCACTAGACAGCCTTGAGATTTTGTTGACTGACTCTGTGACCTCTGTAGTAATTCTGCATAGGTGCTACACTTCACCTCTTTGAAGCCTACCCCTGCATTTGGCATTTTGCCAGTCTCAAGATGCCTTCCAGTCCATTGTGTTGTGTGAGTCAGACTGCAAAATGAAACATGCCATCAATTCTGGTAAGATTCACTTTGCTGCCTTTGGGACTCACCGATCATGAAACAATAAAGTGGAGCAGTGTAACTTGCTATTGCTTTGGATTTTGTGTGCGCTGCAGACTGTAAAATAGTTCTTACCAAGTATTTTGGAAATTTTTTACCTTACAGCGCGTGCACATGCAGTGGTGTAAAATAGTAGAGAGAAAATAAATCAAATAAGAGAGCAGCTTTGGCCCTTAGGGGAAAAAAATGACAAGAACTGACCTTTCAAAAATATAAAAGGAGAAAGATCATGTGAGGTTTGAAGCAAAGTTGTATATTCATTGTATGAGTATACTAGTATCAACCTTTCGCGTCAGTGCCTCTTTCTTTTGTCTTTACCTGCTCTGGCCTCTTACTCAATAGTCAGATCTTATATCACTTTTATAGGGAAAGCTGTGCCTTTGTCTGACGAGCCCTGGGCAGATGCAACATTTGTATCCACAAAAGTGAGCCACAGATATCCGCATCCACATCTGCAGATGCAAATATCTGCGGGTATAAAGTGGATATCTGCAGATTTGCAGGGCTCTACTTTTCAGTTAACTGGCTGAGAAGTGACTTCAGCTTTTTGTATGATTTAGTATACCAGAAAACTAAATATCTAAAATGCAGGATAATTATCTACAACCTATTTGAGCATGCATGTTTTTCTCTTCTATACTAAGAATTAACTTGGGGAATTAAAATGGGTGCAGTGTGATACATTTGACTCTTTCTAACATGGAGGGACTGACAAGGTTAGAGAGCATTTTGCTGTGCGATAAATATTATCTGTAAGTGAGGATACTGACATAGCAGCTCTCAAAATTGGAGAGACGTGTGGATGTGCTTAGAAAGATCAATGAATATGAGGGGGTCATAGATAATAAATGGCTGATGCCAAACACCAATGGAATACCAGCAGTTTGAGTTGCAGGATGAGCATGTTGGAGGTGAAGCACAGTAGGGACAGTGACTAGTAACAATGAGAAAATGTAAAGAAGAATATTGTCCAGAAAATATCAGTGGTTGAAGAGTGTAAATATTAAGGCAGTAGAGGGGAATAATACAAAGCCGAGGAAAGGAAAAGAGCAATTGAGAAATATTGTTAGTAACTCAATCATGGAATATTATTTTAGCAATTTTGTCATAAGGAGCAAGCTAACAGAATTGTGTATCAACCACAGATCAGGAAAATGATTTAGAAATTGTTATAAAATCAATATTGTAGAAGTGGAGTAGTTGACTTAGTCCAGCAGTAGACAGTGTTTGAGATCATGAAGCTTCTTATCTCATTGCCTATTAGATTTCTTATAGTATCTTGTTGATGTTTGAATGGGGCTAGTCACAGTGAGTAAGAGTTGCAGAAATGGACCTACCAAAACACGAGATCCTAACATTTTTTCTAATAATTTAATTTTACATGTACATCCACAGCTATTTGAGATGTTTACCACATCAGCATCAGTGAGAGTGCTTTTTGTCTACTTAGCCCCTCAAATTTGGGTGACAAGTCTGCTAAGTAGACAATAGAATTTGTCAGCAAACAAAGGTACACTATACCTAGGTGGAACGAGGACATGCAAGGGGTTTTGGCGCACTCTTCTTACTCCTAAGGATCACTGCCATCTGGCCCAGTGAGTGGAAGACATCACCAGTGTCAAAAACAGGATTAATTTTGTGTTACTGTTTTTAATCCCCGTGTAGAATCATCAAAATATATTTGTGCCTTTTATGTATATTTTGTGTTTCATGCATATTTAGAATATACTGTACAATGATAACTCTGCTTTCAAAACCAATGAGTAGTCCTGTGGCACCTGAGAGACTGTACATGTTTTTGTTAGTATCATGAGCTTTTGTGGGCAAAACCCACTTCTTCAGATGAACTTTAGCCCTGCTTTCAAAGGCAGGTACTTCCTGAGGCCCATACAAGTGAATAGCATCCCCTTTTTAAAATAATAACTCTGTTGTGTTCCAGTCTTATCTAATGAAGCTCTTAATTAGCTTGAGTTTCTTGAACAACAGCAGACATCTGGCGAAAAAAAGGCTTTTTTAATATTGGTGTGAGAAACGTTATTATACATGTTAAGAGGGCCTCTTAAAAATATGGGTGGTCAGCATAGTTTTCGAAGAGTTAAATGAGTTTAATGGCTGTATTTCAAAACTGTACCTAAAAAAGATTTAACCGAGACACACTGAATAATTACTAGATTTGCATTACGTTTAGCAAAACTAATTTGTTGGAGATGTTTATTATTATGGACTTCAGCTGCACAAGAGTAGACACTGAGTAAATGTCTTTTGTTTCCCAAAATGTGCTATGATGGGGCAGTCAGGTAGGTTTGAATTGATGATTGGTATTTTTGTATGTCATTATCACTCTCGATGTACAAAAAATAAAATAAAATAATCTAGGCATGGAATTCTCAAATAACGCACCTGACTTGGGTAGTTAAGCTTGTGTCCACCCTGCACGTACCAGTCACTCTTCCGCCACTTAATCCCAAGTGCAGTGTGTGCCCTTCACAGCTCTGTCTCCAGTCTAGTAGCACTAATAGCATCTGCATGAAGGTTCCTTCTGTTGGGTCTGCTTATATGCAAATCCAGTGGCCTATTCAGTACTGACATGAATGGAATCTACTTATGAGGGATATGAAGTTTAGAGATTCTGTTACACAGCCATAACAGCTGGCCTCCTATGCATCCCAGAGTTAGCATTGCACAGGTTCTGTGTCATGGAGGGTCTTTGTACAGGTCCTTTGTCAGAGATTGAATTTAACCCCAAAATAACACAATATAGTGTACAACTAAAATCCAACTTTTTTTTAAGTATGTGGTAAGGTGAAGTTATGAGGTTTCTGCTGTCATGCTGCTGTTTTGCTATCCTTTAAGGATTATTATTTGAATTGAATGGTATTAACAATGCTGCAACCACCTAAGAAATGCTGGGGCATCAACCTAGGAGATTAACATTTCTTATTACTTTATTAGGCTCATTTTAAGGACTGCATTTAAAATATATGCAAATATTTTCATTCTGTGGGGTAAACACTTCAATCACAAGTACAGGAAAATGATTTTGAAACTGTTTAAAAAACCAATATTTTAAAAGTGCAGGAACACTAGAAGATTTACCCAGCATTGCTCCGGCCCTTAACTCAGTTTTTGCTCATTTAAATCATTGCTCTGGGGTGGGGCTGGGGACAAAGGGGTCAGTGTGCAGGCTGCCCCAGAGAGAGACAACTACCCCAGCCCTCTCTCATCATAGCAGCTTGGGGCCAGGTGAGAATCGCCTCTGCATAGCTGTTGCAGCTCCAGTGGGCACAGTGAGGGGAGGAGTGCATATCCCCTGGCTGGGGCAGGTCCAGGTCTAGGTTTGTCTGCCCCCGTGCTCCCCATCCAGGTTGAGGAATGGAGCAAACTGTGCATTTCCCTTCGCTCCCTGACAAATGGGAACAACCAACAATATTCCCATACGATGAGGTGGGGGTTGCAGGCCTCCCTCCCACCCTTCCTAAAGAGTGCCTGAG